ACAGAATACTAATTCCAGGATAGTACTGGAACTTGATAAATTTACCCTGCCATCCAAAAACCTAACAGAAATGGTAATAATCAAAGCCTTGAGTCATCTCAGGAGGCAAAGCGTTACCACCTCTGGTCACCTCTTGCCCATGATCAAAGCTAACTTGCCAGCATTTGTGGCTCTTGTTCCCCATCGCAGAGCTCAACAGCCCGGCCTCAGCACCCAGCTCAGAGAAGCAGAGCCCCATGGCACAGCAGCAGAGCCCTGTGGCCCAGCAGAGTCCTCTGGCCCAGCCCAGCCCGGCCACCCCCAACAGCCCTGTCGCCCAACCAGCTCCTCCTCAACCACTTCAACTACAAGGACCTGAAAATAGGTAAAGTTTCCTCTGATTTTTATGATTCTGTAAGGTGGAGGGGATGCATTTGGGGACAATACAGGACAAGGCAGGGAGAGAGACCCTCATAAAGTAGAAAGTGTTACCTGTTTGTGTGATTTCAAAGTCGGATGTGTTCTAGATATGATTTTATTCATAAAGACAGTCAACTGTCATTCACAAGAAGAGAAACTTTCCTTGAGAACTATCGTGGGCAATTGCAGATGAGGAGGGGTTAGCTGAAGAGCGCAGAGGAAGGCCCCGGCAGGAGGGCATGCCAGCATGAAGGATGAGAAGAAGGCCAGCCCAGTGCAGCCCTGGCAGCACAACAAAAGTCATGGTCCCTACCTTACACGCAGTTGGGAGTCATTGAGTGATCTCAAGCTGAGGAGAGACATCACTGGATTTGCTTTTCAAGAAGGCCTCTCAGTCTGCCCTGCAGACAGCAGAAGGGAGGCTGGCAGGGCGAGTGCAATTTAAGCAGTTAAGACGTGGCTGCAGATGTCCACTGAAGCTCGAAGGTCCTGGCTCAAACCGTGATGGTGGCATGGAGAGGGGACAATGCCAAAGGAGAAATAGCGGTAATAAATGTTCGTACTGATCAGGCTGAGCGATAAGTCAGATTATTTCTGGATGTTTCTGGTATCTGTTAGATTATTGAATGAGGAGAGTCAATAACAGATACCAGAAACATCCTTCTCCTGACATCCTTCTACCCAGGATCTAATGAGCTTCTTCCGTTCCACACGTAAGGTTACAGACGGGCATCATGAACTCATATGCCAGTGGGGCACTTTCCGGAAAGAGGATGTCACATAAAAACCGCATTGTCTTCTTCCTGTGACGTGTGTGTCACAGGAAGCCTGGCTTTGGCTGGGACATTAAAGAAAAAGATGAAGACATGTCCCCGTGTAGTTTTCTCTCCTTTCAGTGGGAAAAGAACCGATCAACTCACGGAAACATCTCTGAATCCAAACCTTCCCGGGTCTTTTCATGACTCTCGTGTTTTCTGACATCTGCTTCCTGTCTCCTGCCTCCCGTGTTGGTGAAGATGAAGTGAGACTCTGTTTGCGATTCCCAGAACTCTCTGGATTCATCATTCACATTGTTGCAGCGCAAATATTTTCCCTGTGCCACAGGTGCTATTTCTATAAAGCCCCGTTCTGCTGATTTCCCCATTTGCTGTCATAGACAAGTAAGTGTCTGCTTTGCCTTCAGCTGTTTGTGTTTCTAATAAATGCTGGGAAAAGAGAAATGCTCCTTGAAGCAAATGCTGCACAGGTAGAAATCTGCCAACCTGTGAGAAGAGCAGGTCCTGGCTACGTCAGTCACAGCCCCAGCTGTGTTCGCTGTCACTGGATGTCTTGAGGGACTGCCCCGGCCTTCCTCGGATTCCTTTCCAACTCACAAGGAAGGGCGTCAGTGCTGCGGACCGCTCCTCTTTGCTTTGCCACTATAAATGGACCTCTCAGCGCACTCCGTCTTCCCCCTTCCCCTGGACTCTTGCTTCTAGCCGTGGGTGGGTAATCTCATCCCTGGTGTCACAGTTCTGTGGGGAGGACAATAGTTGGGCAAGGCCACTGTCATATCCTTCCCATCTGCTACTAGCCCAACTAGGACATGTGGGCCCCTATCTCAGAAGCAGCAGTCTTTGAATATTTGACTATAGAATAAAATATTTCTAATTCTGGGATTAAAGGTTGACCTGATGCAGATTTTTGTAAATCGCCAACATATTTGCCCAGTGTTGTTAGCTATTTGGCTTCAGCCATATGAACACAGCCCAGCAAGTGTCCACTCCAATTCTAGGGCCCTTTACTGGCACTCAGGCTTCCTGGCTTAACACTTTCATTATTCTGGTCGCTCATTTGCATACAAATAAGGAGACTCAATAATCTTACAGATACCAGAAGCATTTTCCTAGCTGCGTTTAAAGATGGCCATGAAATCAGAGGGAAAACTTTTGTCTTTTTCTAGGTCAGGCTAGCGATGTCTCCCAGACAGTTTGCAGTGAGGTGCACACCGTGCACTGCCTGCGTTTCTTCACTCGTACAAGGGGTGCCCACCTACGTGTCCCCTTGAGCCAGTTCCTGTGTTAAAGTGGGAGAAAATAAAGTGACAATCTGCTTGCAGATTTCCATTTGTGAGTTAGAATGGTGATGTTGTATCCCATCTTATTTACTCTTGGGTTGGCCTCCTGTGACACCCTGTGTACTTCTACCCACTCGTCTGTCCTTTAACATCCTTTTCATGTATGCTCAGAAAACACAAAATAATTTTCACATAAACACAGGTAAAATGCTCTTCAAGGAGAAGCATTTGTTGACAACAACAAAAGAGCCGTTAAGGAATAAGTTTCCAAACTAAGTATGAATAGCAGAGCTCACCTTCCCCGGCAAGGACAATTGATAGTTGACTACAGTTTAAAATAGCAAGGTCAGTGGAGGAGACTTGGAGAGTGACTTCTCCCATGGACTCTGAACCACAGATGCTCAAGACTGGAAGTGCTTCTTAAAGGGCCGCACGATGTGAAATCTCATTGTGAGCGGCATTTCTTACCATAAAAACCTAGAAGTTACCATTAGCCATCTTATGTTCTCATCTTAAAAATCTCTTTACTAATGGAATTCGTAACTATGAAGGGTTCTAACGATCTTCTTTCATAAGTAAAGGAACTTTACATAGCCTGGTTTTGTTTTAATAATTCTGAGTTTTCCTTAAAATAGTGTTTCTCAAATTTAAAGCAACATAATTTTTGCCCGAGCCAGCATATCGTTCACTTAAAAGTTAGCAACACTCATAAAAAAAATTAAGTACTTTTCCCTGATTATAGAAAACTTCCCCATGCACCTTCAACGTAAAATCCTGACACCTGACTCTGATGTCCAAGGTAGTTTGAGTGGTTGATAGCCTGGATGACAGCTGTTACACCTTCCAAGTTTTAGTCACTTATGTAACCTTTGAGGAGATTCTCACATTTCACCTTGTCTTGCTTTACCTCGTGACATTTTCAGTTGGAAACAGAGCACACAGTGGATATTGCATCCCAGTACTGTACAGATCATGAAAATAAAGTGACTACACTATAACATAAAACAGTATGATGCATAAACCACCGAGCAGGCTATTTCTAGAACGAAACCAACACCCATGACAAGTGTCACCCAGTTTGATTCCTTTTGCTTAATGCCTATATTTGCATAGTTGGGCATCTTTTTTAAAGCATATTTTAAATAATTCTGTTATCAGCATGCATTCTCTCAGTAGGTGAGTAGACAACTGAGGTATAAAGCAAAGCCTCAATTATGCAGCTCACAAAAAGAAAGTCTCCCCTCCGCAGGACTCAGTGACAAATGGGACCTACTCAAAGGGTTGATGAAAATAACTGCTTTACTAACCCCCTTCCAAGAGCTCAACATAAACATATCTAATGGCTGTGGACTTTCAGGGTATCCTCAATAAATATTAGATTACACTAATGGCAATTGTTCGGGTGAGGTATTTTGTAGAATATTTAATACTAATCAGCATCAGCGAGACCATAAGCCGGTAAAGAAACCATTTAGTCTTCAAGGTAAAAGTTCTCCTGATTTTGAACCTTATTTCCTGATACATTTGAGCTTTTCCTTGGTCCTAAATATGTTTGCAATTCTTCATACCCTCCATATTAATTTTAGATAAGATTGTCATTGTGTAGAATGTATTTTTTCATTCTACCTACATCCTGGGTAGCTCATTATAGACTGTTGCCATGGCAATGGGCAATGAACTACAGGATTAAGTGGCCTATCTACCATGGTGATAATTTTTCAGTTGACCTTATTAATGATCCCATAATGGTAGGTATTTGGCTTCTGTAGTTCCCTTTTGGAAATAAGAGCCCCCCTCAACTCAGAGCAGTTTGGATTCACAAAACAATACTAACCTCCTAGTTCTGATCTCTGTGTTTATTTTATTAGTAAACAGTATCTAGTAATAAGCAAGAGACAGATGTTGGACGTGAATATTTTTGCCTTCCCCTCCACATTATTACCACAATAGTATCTGATGCTAATGCTGATAGCTAAACCCCTGGGTAATATACAGAGGATGCCAAAAAAGGCAGACGCATTTGGAGAAAGGAAAAACGTGTATACATTCTGTGGTACCCTCTGTTTTGCTAATCTGACCAGTGATCCAATGACTTTCCACTTGGTTTGAAGTTGGTGATTTATACCTTTCTGTCATTCCTTTGACCTCTGTCAAATATTCAAAAAGACCCAACTTAGCATATTAAACAACTTTTAATCATGTATTTTTAAAGTATTTAAAGATCGTTTCAATCATGTTTTTATGAAGCAATGAATGATTTGTGAAGGGTCTGTGTGTCTGTGAGAGGGAGAGTTAGTTTACTGGTGTTAAGACAGACTGATATCTGATATTTGGAATGTAGAGTTAAGTGTCCACTTGATAGATTTACGGTGGTTATACAGTTTCTAAATAGGCAAAGTCAAGGGGGGAGAGCCATACGTCCTTTTCCACAAAGTTTTGGTTGAACCATCATTTTTACCTTGTTGAAAAGTATACTGTGGCGTTTGTTGAAGATTTTATGGTAATACTTATTTAACCCTTTCATAATCCTGAACACGTGCAGGACCGCCAAGAAAAGTGGCTCATACAAGCTGTTATGGCTGCACCATGCCTGGAGGTCACGTGATCACTCTCCTTAGAATGCTGAGGTATCAAAGCAAATGCCATTTCCACTTCTTTAGTTACAGGTCGGAAGTAAAAGCAAGGCAAGACGTGAAACCGGACATCCGACAGCCACCGTTCACGGACTACAGGCAGCCCCCACTGGACTATAGGCAGCCACCAGGTGGGGATTACCAGCAGCCCCCACCCTTGGACTACAGGCAGCCTCCCCTGCTGGACTACAGGCAGCACTCCCCGGACACCAGGCAGTACCCACTGTCAGACTACAGGCAGCCCCAGGTACCTCTGCCCCATAGCCATGGTGGGCCCTTGAAGTGCAAGGAAAGAAACAGAGGGGAGGCAGAGGGAGGAGCACCCTTCTAGCACAGAGAGCCAAGTTCATTCCTACTTCTGATATCCTCAGGCTAACACCTGCATCCTCAGACCTGCGCTGGATAAAGAAATGTATTGCAGAATAAAGCAGGACATTAAGTAAATACATAAATAATAGTGGGTTAGTGGTAATGGGATGAGCATATCCCTACTAATATTAGCTAGGTAGCTCCCTGTACATTTCCTTGTCAAGGTTTTAAACATGCTCTTATCTCAGTGCTGCTAGTACAGAAAATTTTACAGATGTCAGCAGGGGAGGTATTTTAGGTCCATAATTTTTTATACAGCCCCTACCTCCCACTCTGTGATGAGAGGCCAATCCCCTGTGCATGAAGATAAGACCAGACCTGGCTTCATAATCCAGAGTGTGGCCTCCGCAGCAACCACCGACTCCCTGCCAGTGGTGATTGTGATTTGTTGATGTTGGGTGCATCTCATGGCAACTTTCTTAACTCTCTCAGCTTCAGTTTCCTAAAGGGAGTTGGGGGCTCTTCCTTACAGGCCATGGTGAGGATTCAACATTTATAGAAAGTGCCTAGACCAGAGCTTAGTATCTAGTAAATACTTACCACCTGGTATCTAGATACCAAGATATAAGTTAAATCCACTTTAAATTCTATCAGATTACATTCTGTTTCATTATGAATCAAAAGTCACCTTTATTCCTAAAGATTTTTAAGAATACTGAAGTTCAAGAAATCTTGGACGTAACTGCATTTTAGGTAAAAGACAAATGGATTTTGTACACTCCAACTTGATACTTCATAATCTGTGCCACCAACTTAAAGTCAGATCTCACTAAATTTTACTTTTCTAATCAGCCAACTCTGTGATTTATACAAACACACACACACATGGTAACATGTTTATTTCCAGGGCTCAACAGCAGTGAATGAGAAAGCCCAAAGGAAGTGATATCATTCAAATGTCTGCAATAATTGTACGTTTGCCAAGTAAACTGATGAATACCAAAGTAAACAAGCCATACAGCAGTTCTTTTGATGACCAAGTAAACTTTGTTCTGATCTGCCCAGGCCTTTGGAATTTTGTCTTGCATTTTGATAATTCACAAAGTCAGGTTACTTTTTACATCATGTGATTTGGAATATATGACTACAAGTGAGGAGAACAGACACTGGCTGCGGAAGTGTCCATGATACTAAGCAATTCTTTATTCCATTTTCTACCAAAGGATTTCGATTATTTCACTGTGGACATGGAGAAAGGAGCCAAAGGATTTGGATTCAGCATCCGTGGAGGAAGGGAATACAAAATGGATTTGTACGTGTTGAGATTGGCAGAAGATGGGCCAGCAATAAGGAATGGAAGGATGAGGGTAAGAATGGTTTCTTTTTTTATAGAGAACTGCTCTGTTCTGAAAGAAAAATGCATTGTGGCATTGGAAGGATGCTAAGGTGTGTTATCAAAAAAACAGACCTGACGCAGGTTGTTTAAAGGTTTGGCCAAATGCTATGTAAGAATTATCATATCTCTCATTTTTCTGCTTCTGAACTTCCGGTTGAAAAGCCTCAGTAGAGTGTTCTTTTTCTGAAGAGCAAACTAAACAAATGAACAGAGCTAAGAAATAGCTTCAGACGGAGAGATTATTGCTCCATAATTCTTTCTGTGGTTTGATGACTCTGTTTTCACTGAGGATAAATATTTTGGAATTTATTTTTAGTTTTACATTTTTTCTCCCATGTTTACTAGTCAAATGATTTTGTGTTTCTTGGAAATATTCCTTTTGTGTAAAGGGAGATTAGATTTCTTGGATTCTGGTTGTCCTTAAAAATGATAACAGGTAGCAATTTGCCAATTAGAGTATAAATTGAGGGTAGATTTTTTTAGTTTACTAGTTACTTTGAGGCAATTCATGTATGATAGGTAACTGATTCTGCATTTAAAGATACAAAATGAAACTTGGTAGCAATATAGAACAATAGACATGCCATAAAATGGTAACTAGTAAGCCCAAAATAAAGGTTAGTTATTATTATAAATAAAATCTAGATCTTATTCTTACCTTTCCTCCTTGCTCTTTAAATTGATAAAGAAAAGCTGTGGTTTGGGGGTTCTGGAACCTCAGATACTTGTGCCGAGTCTTGTTCCTGGACGTCGAAATCTATTATTTCTACCCCTAAGTCTGCATTTCTCTAGTTCTCATTCCCAAGACAGGGAATTATCCACAGAACAAAGGTAGAAAAAATGCAAATTGTGTCTCTGTTTCTTGCTCCCCTCACAAGCCTTGGAAAAGTGGGAGATATCCAAGTTGGAATTGAAGCCCAGGCAAGGCTGGTTCCCGGGGCTGGCAGCCCATGCCCTGATCCGGCACTGGCATCGTCTCACCCAGACTGGCTGAGGATGTGGGATAGGCCTCCACATGGTTTCTTGGCTCTGCAGCTTCCCTATAAATCAGAAGAGCACTTCCTTAACATACTTTAAAGCTGGCTCACAAGTGGTTAAGTAAAATTATCTTTGCAATGTGGGCGAAATCAACACAGCTTGAAGGCCTTGAGTGAAATGACCAGAGCCCAGTGAGAAAAGATAGCCCCCCAGGGGACTATAGAGTTGGTCTCTGGGGGTTCCAAACAGAGAGGGGTTTAAATGGCTCACTGCTGGATATATACAGTCCTCCTAGACAAAGATACCATGACAGAGGTACCATGACATAAAAAGATTACTCCTTCTTACAAAATTTAATCAGAGCAATAGTTCTTAGTGTGGTCCCTGGCACTGTCAACCCTGGGAACCTATTAGAAAAACAAGGTCTCTAACCCCATCCAGACCTACTGAATCAGGAACTCTATGATGGGGGCAAACAGGTTATATTTTAAAAAGCCCCCCAGGTGAATCTCCTTCAAAGGTCCATTGTAGTCCAAAAATATTCAATGGAAAATTCTGGAAATAAACAATTTGTAAGTTTTAAATTGCACTGTTCTGAGCGGCATGGTGAAATCTCGCCGTGCTGAGCCCATGAATCATCTCTAGGTCTAGCATATCCATTAGCAAACCTCTGATTGTAAGATCACTGTCGTGGTGTTACTGAAGTTGTGTTCAAGTCACTCTTCTTTTCCTTAATAACAATCTAAAGTACAAGAGAAGTGATACTGGCATATTGTTACGATTCTTGTACTTTATTATTAGTTGATGACCCCTTTCCATGCTAAATTTACAAATTAAACGTTATCATAGCTATGTATGTATAAGAAAAACATAGTATATTTGGTGTTACTACTACCTGTGGTTCCAGGCATCCACTGGGGGTCCCGGAACATACCCAGAAAGTACTACTGTATTTATTTTATAAAAAACAAATGGAGAACATCAAGTTTTGACTTCAATTACTAGATACGTTTTCAGCATTCATACTGATGTATTAAAAGTTGAGTAGACAAAACACAATTGGTAAATAAAGAAAATAAGGGAAATGATAAATAGAAAATATAATCGTTGTCTCTGATATTTTTATTTTTATTATGGCTATTTTTCTTTAGTCACTCAAAAAGGCTGATATCATAACAAAAACACAACTGACATTCATATTTTTAAGGAAAAATATAAATTACTAGAAAATGTTACTGGATCTGCAGAAAAGCACTGGTTTTAGTTTGTGAAACAGTGTAATAAAGTCAAGATGGATAAAGTTTCCCTAAGTGATGAATAAATCTCTGGTATAAAGCTCATAGGAATATAATCTAATTAAAAACTGAAACTAAATAGAAAATGCAGGCAAGAAATAATGAACATAAAAAATTATATACTGGTGAAGCAGAGAGTAGGAATGTAGGAAACTCAGGGGTGTTTAAAGGGAAGGAATAGCAGTTAAGGGCTTAAATAAAAACGTGAGGGTCAAGTGAGAAGAAAATCTGATGAGCTCAAGTTTGCTCTTAAAACGGTAAAATATTTTCAAACCATAAAAGTGTAATATAGTACCTATTTCCATAAAATGAATTTTTATGATAAAAACATCATTTTATGAGCTCATCATCTTAAAACTGCGTAACATTTATGTATGCCTACTTAACATCACATAAGCTTAATTACGAAATGGTTTACTTTCTCTCTGAAACGCACATTGATACCAAACTTTCAGGTTCTTGGTCTCGGTGATTTGAAAAATAAATCTGCGGACCACAGATCAGTGGCAAGACAGAATTTATTTACAGAAAAGAATACAGAAACACTAAAGTTCCTGGTAGGGAGAAAAAACCCTAGTGGGGAGAGAAAAGCTCTCTCCGTTTTTTCTCTCCGTCTCTCTCCGTTTAGCTGTAGATATAGGTGCATGGGTTCCTTCTATATGAGGCCAGGAAATGAAGGGGCCAGTCCCTTCCTGGGGCAAGGTGAATGAATGTACTAATGAATGGACACAGTCCCTTCAGCTGGGGCAAGGTGAATGAATGTACTAATGAATGGACACAGTCCCTTCATCTGGGGCAAGGTGAATGAATGTACTAATGAATGGACACAGTCCATTCACAGAACTGAGGCCTAGGAAACTGACATGAAATTGACCTAGGCATAGGAAATGGGGGTTCCATATTTAGTCATAAGTGTAAAGGGGAAGGAGACACCAAGGTGCCAGTGTCCGGTCCCTTTGGCTCCTGGAGCCTCCGGTGGGGGAGGGAGGTCCCCCCCCTTGCCTACCCTCCAGCCTGCTGGTTCCTCTGCTGGCTGCCACCACACCAACACCATCAAGGTGGCGGCAGCAGGTCCTCCAGCCCAGCTCAGCTGAGCTGGCTAGGGCACCACCTGTCCTGTATCAACATGACATAAAAGTCTGCCTGCAATGGGCTTCAGAATGACCTTAACCTTTATTTTTATATTGAGACAGACTCTCATTCTGTCACCCTGGGTAGAATGCTATGACGTCATAGCTCACAGCAACTTCAAACTCTTGGGCTCAAGTGATCTTCCTGCTTCAGACTCCCAAGCAGCTGCTACAATACCCAGCTGGTTTTTCTATTTTTAGTAGAGATGGGGTCTCACTCTTGCTCAGGCTGGTCTTCAACTCCTGAGCTCAAATTGACCCAGGTCCACCCACCTGGGCCTCCCAGAGTGCTAGCGTTCTAGGCAGGAGCCACCACACCTGGCCTAAACATTTTGTTAGCGTGAACAACATGCAGAAAAGATACTTACCCATCTCTCTCTCTATTTTTTTTTTTTTTAAATGAAAAACAAAGTCTCTGATACCAGCCTCTTAAGAATTTGTCACCCTTCCTTCTGTGGTCCAAATGTAACTTAGCCTGTGACTACAGAAGTGTCTATTTTAGGTAGTTTTTGTTAAACATAAAACCATTTAAGGCTATTTCTAGCAAATTCAACAGGCATAAATACTAACAATGATACGAGTACCCTGAACCCATAGTCCAAGCTAAGAACCAAACATTACCAGCCCCAGAGAGAACCACCGTCCTAAATAAAGAAGCATTTGGCCTTTCTTCTAATGTTGCCACGTATATGTGTATCGCTCACCTACATTGTTTAGTTTTTCCTGCTCTGTTAACTTTACAAGAATGAATCTCACTGTACGTGTTCTTCCCTGTGGTTTGCTTTTTATACTTTACAAACGTGAGTTTATCCAAGTTGGTGCGGGAAGCTGTGGTTCATTTATTTTCACTGCTGTAATGTATTCCATTATATGAATATGAGGCAATCTATAACAGTTATCTATTTTCCCATTCTGTGGACTTTTGGGTTTTTTTTCTTGTCAATGGACATTTGGCTTATTTCCAGCTTTTTGTAGCTAATACAGTCTTGTAAATCTTCCCTGATGCACTCACACAAGACTTTCTCTAGACTGGACTGTATACCTAGGAGGACATCCATTTAACTGAAAAACACAAAAGTCTTTTCCTAGGTAGTTGTACAATGTTGTACTTTTCCTTACTACACATCCTCCAAAGATCTGTATTTTGAATTTTTAAGCTCTCATTCTGGTTCATGGAAAATGACATGCCCTTAGGGTTGAGTTTGCCCTTCCTGATTACAAATTATTATTGTCATCTTACATTTATTAGACTTTGATGTTCTGTCTTAAATAAAAATGTCTTTATGTATCTCTTCCCATCTTTCACTGAATAGTTCTTTTCAGATTGATTTTAGAAGTGCTTGTATATTCTTAATGTGATACAAATATCTTACCCCAGTTTATGGCTGGTAGTTTCACTTTCTTTATGATGCCTTTGATGAAGAAAAGATCTTAATTTTAGTAGAACTTTTCCTTTATAGATGAAGAGAAGATCTTAATTTTAGTAGATCTTTTCCTTTATAGATTCTATTTTCTGTGTCTTATTTGAAAAATAATTCCCCAACACAGTCTTAAAAATCTTCTCTTAT